GGCAGAGAACCCAGGGCCTCATGGGCAGCAGGAGGGACTGGATAGACAGGTGGATGCACTTCCTCAGCCTGCAGAGCTTGCTGGCTCCACTACGTAAGTGAAGACAATGGTGTGGTTACTCTGGAAGATGTGGAGAACAACCTGGCCCTCGTTCACCTTGGTTTCTTGGGGGGGGGGGGTCCCGGTATACTCTGAGATCTGGGGCTGGCATGATTTCAGGGAGAGTTCCAGCCACACCTCTGAAGGCGGACGTGTTGGCATCAGCCGGCGAGGCCAAGTTACCATGAGAGCTCTGCTCTGCCCGGCAAGCCACGTGGGCCAGTGCCAGCCCGCACTCCCCGGTAGATAACATTTTATTTCCTCCAAATCCTCCTTAATGCCATTTTATTTTCATTTGGGGACACGCCTGTCTCTTTGGAGGGCAGATGAATGATTGGTTTGGGGAGTGGTGAATCCAGTCGCCGTCGTTCTGATTGGGGGCTCCTACCGCATTCCAGTACACGGGGTCCGCTCTTCCCACCTGGAGACCCCCGGGGAACCGACGGCTGATGCTGAGTGGGGGAAAGTTCAGTGCTGTCTCAGGACATCTCTCCCTGGACTCGGCCACGGTGGGGGCAAAGGGCTGTGAACCTGGGGCCAAAGGAACCCGAGCCCTCCACGTTCGTCCACTCTGCCCAGAGCAGGGATGACGGAGGAATATCTCCCTTTACCAAGGATCGCTTGGTGAGCCCCACGTGGACAGACCTTGTCACTGCTTCTGGAAACAGTGGCTTTCTGCTCTTTTTTTCCGGGGGGGGAGGGGACAGCCCTGCAGGTGAATCAAATAGCAAAATGCTCTGAGCACCACCCCCCTTCAGAGCTCCTCTCCACCACGCCTTTCCATCAGCGAAATCGGTGATCCACTCAGATGGGCACGGAAAGATATATTACTAATTTATTAATTTTTAATTCACTAATGATAACATAATTTATTATTAATTCAGTTATCATATAACACTCATTTGCCATTGATGATAATACAACTGAATATTAACTTATTATCAAGTTATCATAAAACTCATTCATTTGCCATCAATGATAATACAATTGAATATTAACCTATTGTTAAGTTAGTTATATAACTTATTCATTTGCCATCAATGATAATACAATTGAATATTAACCTATTGTTAAGCTAGCTATCATATAACATTAATTTACCATCGATGACGATACCATTGAATATTAACCTTTGATTATAATGTAATTTGATATTATTATTACATATACATATTTATTATATCCGAGACACAGGTCATCATCTTTGCTACTCTGAAAGAAAGCCGCCGCCGGCCCGCTGAGCACTTCCCCTTCACCTGCTCTCCACCCCGTAGGCTCTCACCCTTCGGCCCGTCATGAACCAGGGAATTTTGACAGCACGCACAGCTTAGGTTTTAGTGTTTCTCACTTGATACTCAGCAAGCTGCCTGCTCTCCGCGCCTCGGTCTCAGTTACGGATCTGTTCTTCTCTCATCCTGCAAATGCCGTTCTCTCTGGCGGCGTGGAGTGGGCATGATTGTACGCATCTGCCTCCATGAATAGAGCCTGATTGTTATTGATAACCCTTCTCCCTAATCAGTAGCTAACTTAATGCTCGCACTGTTTCTCTTGATCCATTTCATTTCCCTTTTTTTTTTTTTTTGGCAATTTTCCCCCCTATTTCTCTACTTATTATTCCTTTGCATTGACCTAAAAGCACCTTGGAGCTGGGTGCTTGGAACTCACGCTTGACATCCCAGCTACTTGGGAGGCTAAGATCAGAGGATCGCGGTTCAAAGCCAGCTTGCGCAGGAAACTCTGTAAGACCCTTTATCTCCAGTTAACCAGCAAAAAGTCCAAAGTGGCTCTGTGGCTCATGTGATAGGGTGCTAGCCTTGAGCAAAAGAAGCTCAGGGACAGCGCCCAGATCCCAAGTTCAAGCCCTACAACCAGCCAAGGAAACAAAACAGTTAAAGAAACTAGATCACCAGGGCTTGGCCACCGTTTGCCACCCACAGTTCAGCACCATTTACCCCAGGAAGCGGCCGTGACTTGGGGCAAATGACCCCGTCTCAAGTGAGGGACAGTCTTGGAAGTGGGGTGAGCTGGATCTTACCGCTGTGGGGTTGGGGGACATTGTGGATCGGCAGGAAATGGGAACGAGGAGCCGGCCGATTTCGTGCACTGCCAGTAGGATAACAGGAGGGAAAGCCGTTCCCGTCCCTTCTTAGCGAACACACGCTGTGGGCGTCAAAATTCCAAGAGTACACAGCTCACATGTGGCACGCGGCTGGAGGCTCTCGTAGAAATTTATCTGCCCCGGGCTGATCACCCCTCTCCCTCCAGCACAGCCATTTCTTGGGGCAGGCTACAGCGAGGTTTTGGGGGCCAGCTGGGATCAGGAATCCGTCCCTGCCCTTGGCCTGGTCAGGTTTGGTCACTCACTGGCTGCTGCTCTGAGACACCGTTTCGTAACACCAGCAGGGGACGCTGCTGGTCCTCGGTCCCCTGCCAGGATGGGTGTTTGACCACAACACCTTCCACTTGGCTCGCCTGGAGATTGCGCCTAGATTTGTGCCTGGAGAACGTGCCTAGATTTGTGGCTGCAGTCATCGCTTGCCCAGCCTGTCGCCATTTGCAACAGATAGCCAGAAGCGAGTTCAGGCTCAGCCTTGGCCAAACGCGTAAGGCCGGGGTCCTCACTATGCTGAGAAACCATAACTCCTCTCTCTCTCTCTCTTTGCTTTTCCAGTCCTGGGGCTTAAACTCTGGGCCTGGGCGCTGACCCTGATGCCTCTTCTAGTGGTTCATTGGAGATAAGAGCCTCATGGACTTTCCTGCCTGGGCTGGCTTCAAACCACAATCCTCAGATCTCAGCCTCCCGAGTAGCTGGGGTGGCAGGCAGGAGCCACGCATGTGCAGCTTTTGTCTCGTGGTTTCTGTTTGGCTTCCATCAACTCAGTTGGGTGCCAGACCCCAGCGCCATTGGGGCTCCCTGGTTTAGTGGATGGTGGAGGTAGGTGTTGAGGGGGACGCAGGGGGTCAGAACAGGGTGAGATGGTGCTGAATCAGGTGGGGGGGGGTGGGGGGAAGGAGAGGACAGACCCACCTCCATAGTCTCCTTTCGAACTTCTACTGCACCCTGGCATTCTCTTGCTTGGAGACAGACAAGGTCACTGACAAGGTCACTCGTCACCACAGGGGAAAGGAACTAAGAAAAAGCAGGACCGAAGAGGGTCAGGTTCACTCACTCTCATTAGTAGAAGACTCACCAGGGGTTTTCTAGAAGCGGGTGCTTTCGATGTATGGGAGCCACACAGATCCACTGTGCGCAGAGGCTGGGTGTGCATCCCGGGCTCTGGGTACCCCGCCGCTCACCCATCCCAGGCCAGCCTGGGGTGTCTGGTGAGGCCCTGCTTGCTGGCGCTTGGCTGGTCCACACCTGACTGGAGGAACTCTGCCCTCAGCACCTGCTTATTTCTATAGTTGTAAGGCCTAGGCACTGTCTCTGAGCTCTTTCTCTCCCGGCTGGTGCTCTACTGCTTGAGCCACAGCTCCACTTTCAGAATTTGGGTGGTTCATTGGAGATCACAGCCCAGGCTGGCTTCGAACCTTGAACCTCAGACCTCTCGGCTTCCTGAGTAGCTGGGATAACTAGCGTGAGCCACTGGTGCCCAGCCACTTACTCATTCTTGGTGGTCCCTATGGGACCAGATGCCCAGAGATCTCTGCCTGGCATCGTCCATGCCAGCCTGCGGGCTGTGCAGGGTTCAGGCAGTGAGGGACAAATGCAGCTGGGCAGAGCTGAGGGCTGGCCAAGGTCTGTGGGAACAGTCGGTTATTTCTCACCGTGTGTGTGTGTGTGTGTGTGTGTGTGTGTGCACGTGTGCACGCACATGTGTCAGCAGCTCTGACTTGCCCTGCCGCTCCCCCCTCCATCCACACCCAGCCTCTCCCCCCACACCCAGACCCCATGTGTTGCTCTGCTGATTTTTTCTGGACCCTAGGAGAGAACACACACACACACACACACGCACGCACGCACGCACGCACGCACATGCGCATATACATGTGCGCACACACACATACTTTGGTCACACCAGTCAGTTGCACAGGAGGCTTCATTCTACGTGTGCACCCCTGCATACCAGGCGCCTGGTCCACCCACCCCGCGTTCCTCCCTCCTCCTCCCCCCTTCCCCAGCCCATCCCACCGAGCTCCACCCTTCCATTCTCCCAGGGGGACTTAGAGCCTGTGGATCACATCCGCCCTCCTCTACCCCTCTGTCCACCTTCGTTCCTCTCACCAGAACCCACAGCTGGGACAAGGCCGGCTTCACACTCCAGGCACTCATCATCTTCATCACCATCATCATCATCACCATCATCATCACCATCTTCATCATCATTATCAATAGTATTATTTTGATGCCCATCCTGGGCCTTGAACTCAGGGCCCAGCTGTCCCTGGGCTTTTCTTTGCTCAAGCCGGGTGCTTTATCACTTGAGCCACAGCTCCACTTGTAGCATCTTGATGGGGAATCACAGACTTCCCTTCCTAAGCTGGCTTTGAACTGCGATCCTCAGATCGCAGCCTCCTGAGTGGCTGGGATGCCAGGCGGGAGCCACGGCGCCCGGCTCCACATCTGTGTGTGTGCAGGTTGTGCACGGGGTCCTCGCTAGGCCACATCTCCCACTCTGTCCTCCCCAGGAGACACGCGTGGGAGCCCAGTCCCATACATGTATGTGATTTAGCCTTGCTGGGGGAGGGGAAGCCAAAGAAAGCGATCGCCCTGAAAATAAACGCTGATGGGCAGGAAGCTCGGTGTGCACTGCCACCAAAGACCGACTGACCTCTCTCTCCCTCCCTCCCTTCCTTTTTCCATTTCCCTATCACTTTCCTTTCCTACCTCTTCCTTTCCTACCTCTTCCTCTCGCTCCCTCCCTTCCTCTCCCTCTTTCTCCCTCCCACCCTCCCTACAGGACGACTCGTCCATGTTCTTCCAGTTCGGGCCGTCCATCGAGCAGCAGGCTTCGGTCATGCTAAACATTATGGAAGAGTACGACTGGTACATCTTCTCCATTGTCACCACCTACTTCCCCGGGTACCAGGACTTCGTGAACAAGATCCGCAGCACCATCGAGAACAGCTTCGTGGGCTGGGAGCTGGAGGAGGTGCTGCTGCTGGACATGTCGCTGGACGACGGGGACTCCAAGATCCAGAACCAGCTGAAGAAGCTGCAGACCCCCATCATCCTGCTCTACTGCACCAAGGAGGAGGCCACCTACATCTTCGAGGTGGCGCACTCCGTGGGGCTCACGGGCTATGGCTACACGTGGATCGTGCCCAGCCTGGTGGCCGGCGACACGGACACGGTGCCGGCCGAGTTCCCCACAGGGCTCATCTCGGTCTCGTACGACGAGTGGGACTACGGGCTGTCTGCGCGCGTGCGCGACGGCATCGCCATCATCACCACGGCCGCGTCGGACATGCTGTCCGAGCACAGCTTCATCCCCGAGCCCAAGAGCAGCTGCTACAACACGCACGAGAAGCGCATCTACCAGTCCAACATGCTCAACCGGTGAGTGTGGGTGTGGGCGGCCTGCCGGGGCATGCGCAGGAGCACGCGCAGGGGAGGGCGTGTGCATGTGTGCATGTGTGCATGCGCATAGAGGCCCTGGAAGAGGCCTGGCCACAGAGGCTCAGAAGTGGTGGAAGAGGCAGCAGGAGGAAGGCCAGCCTCCAGCGGCCGGCGATCACCAGGGCCCAGCCCCGGCTGTGCCCTGCACTTGTTCTAGGAAACCCGTGCCAGCGCCCGGTGCCCGGGTGCCCAAGTGCTTGACCTCATCCCTTCCCCCCTTCCCCATGGACAGCAGACAGTAATGAAATCTGGAGGTACATGGATCTATGTGGACTCAAACCCAGGCCTTTCAGGTCCCTGAGGGTCTGTTCAGATGGGGTAGGCTTAGGGAGATGGGAGTTCCAGTTCACAGACAGCAGCTATGCTGCGTGGGGACACCGAAGGTGTTCCCTGGGGGCGGGGATGAGGCCAGGTGGCAGGCAGGAGGGATGCAGGCTCAGCCAGAGGTCAGAGTGGCTCCTGTCAGTCACCGTGTTGCCATGACAGTGTACCAGGGACGTTTCTGTCAGTCACTTTGTCGCCATGACAGTGTACCCAGGAGGTTTCTGTCAGTCACCTTATTTTCATGACCGTGTACCAGGGAGGTTCCTGTCCGGCACCTTGTTGCCATGACAACGTGCTGGGATGGTTTCTGTCCGGCACCTTGTTGCCATAACAACATGACAGGGTGGTTCCTGTCGATCACTTTGTTGCCATGACAATGTATGTGCCAGAAACAACTTCAGACACTCCTCCACCTCCCTGGGGTATTCAGTGCCCACACGTCTTTGGTTCTGTGGGTTCTGAGCAAACGTGGCCGCCGACCAGTGGGAGAGGCTGCTGGCCTCCTGATGGGCTGGAAGGAAGGAGGGGGAGGGGACCAGAGACCCAGCCACCCCTTCCCACCCCCAGACAGTGCCACCACCCGGACGGCCCGTGTTCTCTGTGTGAAGCCGCTTTGCCTAACGGCCTCCCATTCTGTCCGCGTGGCTCTCTTGGGAGTGTTCATTGACTGCTTCCAGAAGATTCTATCCCAGGGCTGTGTGGTCTTATTTTCTCATCAAGCAGTTACGCAGGCACTTTGTAAAAATTCAGATTATCTCAAGAAAATTACAGTGGTCTCACCACCAAGTAGGTAGGAATGAGCATTGTTCAGGGAAATCATGAAACTCCTTCTAGAAACCTCCCTGTGTCTGTGTCAGGGTGGGTGTGAATCCATCCCAGGCCACAAGGGAGACTTTGGCAGACTTGATACTTGATAGCGTGGCTTTATTTCATTGCCTGTCTTGAGAATCCAGGGGTTGGAGGTGTGGCTCAGTTGGTAGAGCACCAACCAATGTGCAAAAGCGTCAGGTACTGAATTTGAGTCCCAGTCTTGGACTGAGAGAGAGAGAGAGAGAGAGAGAGAGTCCATTTTTAACTTACTTTAAGGAATACTGAACTGTACCAAAGGCATCCAGGAGCAGTGCCCACACACCCGCCACCCTGCTTAAGAAATAAAGAACTAGAGAGCAAAGGAAGGGGGTCATGCTCACCACCTGACTTACGTAACTGTCACCCCTCAGCAATCACCTTTATCATAACAATGAAACAATCTTTCTTTAAAAAAAAAATTGAAAGGCAACCGGGCACTGGTGGCTCCCGCCTGTCATCCCAGCTACTCAGGAGGCTGAGATCTGAGGATCGAGGTTCAAAGCCAGCCCAGGCAGGAAGGTCCGTGAGACTCTGATCTCCCATGAACCACCAGAAAACCAGAAGTGGAGCTGTGGCTCAAGTGGTAGAGTGCCAGCCTTGAGCTGAAGTGCTCAGGGACAGCTCCCAGGCCCTGAGTTCAAGACCCAGGACCAACAAAACAAATTAAAAAGAAAACCTGTAAACAGCTGGCTGTTTGCCCAGGAGGGCTTTTCCATGGGCCAGTTGCTCTGTTCTCAGCCCAGGCCTCAGGTTCCATAGAAAGTTCTAGCAGTGAGCCACCAGCACCACCCCCATGCCCGGAGTACTTCGCTCCTTTGGCCAGCTGTCTCTCTAGATCTCTGACAAGGTTCGCCGTCTCCTCTTAGGGAAACATTCTTCCCTGGCAAAGCTCAGAAAGCATGGTGGAGGCCACACTAGGAGGACAGAGCCATGGTCCCAGTGCCTAGGGCCCCGAGGGTGGAGAAAGTCTTACCTCAGAGGTCAGAGAGGGGTCGTATGTCAGAGGTCGTGGGTCAGAACACGCATGACATGAAGTCTGACCAGCATCGCTCCACATGCTTTGGGCCAAGGATGCAGGAAATCAAAGTGGATGCTTTTCCCACAGCTCCTCCTCCTCCATATCCCACTGAGTCGGTATCAAGAGGGTGGAGTTTATCATCATCATCATTATTATCATTATCATTATTATTAAATATTCACTGTGCAGAAGGGTGCTGGATGGGAATAGAAAAAGCTCAGCTACTTGCTTCCTTCATTTTCCCATGGCCTTTCCAGATCCTTCTCCTATTCCCTCCTCTCTTCCTCCTCGTCCTCTCCCTTCCCTCCCCCTCCTTTCCCTCTCTCCCTCCCTACCTTCTCCCTTTCTGCACCCCCCCCCTTCCCCGAACAAAAGTCTGCCAGCAACGTTAGGTCACGTCAGCACACTGGAAGTCTACAGTAATACCATCATTTGTCTTGTTGACTTGAAGAACGGGTGCGGTTTCCTCCTCGCCGTCTGTGGAGGGGGTGGACAGGCCGCACGTGTCCCGTAGATGATGATTGAAGGCCCGGCTGGTCCCCCTCCCAGCCGCCCAGGGCCCAGCCGCCTTCTGTGAGCGAGTTCTGCGCATGCTCGCGTGGGCCCCATGCCTTTCACCTGGGAAGGTGGAGGCTCAGAGGCGGTGGACGGCTGGGAACAGACCCACGGGTGAAGAGACTCCCGCCTGTGTCTCAGGAGCTCGGAAGGGCTGTTGTGGGATTCCTCGTAGGACGGAGATTTGTGGACATACCACAATGGTTTGTGCAGATCCAGAAAGAAAGCTGCACTGGTGGCCACAAGTGACCACGGGTGTCCACGGTGCCAGTGGCTCAAGTGGTAGAGTGCCAGCCCAGCCAGGGCCAAGCCCTGAGTTCTAATCCCAGCACTGCCAAAGCAATGGATTGCAGACCGGCTTTCCCCAGTCTGTGTTGGTGAGCCCCGCTGATGTTTATAAACATCGTTAACCCTGGGGCAGCCAGGCCCTGCCGTAGCCACCTGCCTCTCGGAGAATCTCCGATAAATTCTTCCCTCAAAGATGAGACCAGGCTAAAGCCCAAATCAGGCTGGGAACCAATGCCCAGCACCCGCCAGCCACGGGCGTATCGCTGTGTGAAATGCCCATCACCTGCTGTGCCCAGATGCACCATTGCTTGTCTTTCTACCTTTTTTTCTTCTTCTTTTTTTCTTTGGTCCATTGTAGGACTTGAACTCAGGGCCTGGGCGCTGTCCCTGCGCTCTTCAGCTCAAGGCTGGTGCTCTACCACTTGAACCACAGCTCCACTTCAGGTTTTCTGGTGGTTCATTGGAGATCAGAGTCTCACGGACCTTCCTGCCCAGGCTGGCTTTGAACCATGATCCTCAGGTCTCAGCCTCCTGAGTAGCTGGGATAACAGGTGTGAGCCACCAGCGCCTGGCTGGTTTTCTCCTTTAGGAAGGATGAGTTCTTTTTTTCTTTATTCCCTCTCTGTGTGTCAAAGACTCATTCTCTGGATTTGTGGAAAGGAGATGGGAGAGGCTGAGATGGTCCGTGGGGAGGGGGAGGAGCGGGCGGCACATGGCGGCTGCTTTTCTGCACCTCACAGAACACCACGGGGCCCCAGCCCCCTCGGTGACCGCTCCCACGGCAGGCGTGGGACCCGTGGGTGTCTCTGACCCAGTATGGGGAACCGGGGTGCGAGCAGTGCCTGGACTTCGTGGGAAGAGAGAGAGGCAGGGCACACCTGGGAAGGTTCACTTGGCCGGGCAGATTTCTAGAAACATCCATAGAACTCAGATCAGGAGTCAAGGCCAGCATGGCTGACGACGCTCAATGGAAGCCAGCCAGAATTGCCTTCTAGTCCTGCTGTGTGGTCTCAGTGGTTCATTTATGACAGGTGATGGGGTGAGGAGGAGGAGGAGGAGGAGGAGGAGGAGGAGGAGGAGGAGATTTAATAGCTTCTAGATCAGCCAGCTCCTTGATCTTCTCCCCCCGCCCCGCCCGCCATGGCAAACCCCAAAACGTCACGGAGGAATGCTCCTCTCCCCGCCCCCCACGCACATGCATGTGTGCCTGTGTTCACCAACACATTTTAAAAATAGGAGCCCTGGTTGCCATGACGCCCATTGCTACCTAGCAACCGTGCTCCTCCGCTCTGTGCCTTTTACCTTCAGGGAGCAGCGCTGTCCCGGAGCGGCCCCTAGCGGCCCGGCTCCACCAGGCTCCCCTTCCTTCCCTGCCTCCCCACCTGGCCAGGAGGAGCCCACGCGGGCCCAGGGGCCGTCTGAAGGTGCCCAGCATCCCGTGCCACGAGAGAGTCACTTGGGACCTGTTGTGTGCACAAAGCACACATGTTGATCTACGGGAATCCGCAGAGCACGTTTGTGCCCCAAAGACCCCTTTCGTCCTCTGAGAACCGTAGGGAGTATTGGATGAAGTGACCCAAATAAATCAATTTGGCCAGCCTGGTGGCTCACACCTGGAATCCCAGCTACTCAGGAGGCTGAGATCTGAGGATCAACCAGCCCAGGCAGGAAAGTCGGTGAGACTCTTATCTCCAATGAATCACCAAAAATCTAGAAGTGGAGCTGTGGCCCAAGTGGTAGAGCACCATCCTTACATGAAAAAAAAGCTCAGAGACAGTGCCCAGGTCTTAAGTTCAAGCCTTGGGACTGGCAGAGAGAGAGAGGGAGAGTAGGAGAGGGAGAGAGAGAGGTTTGCTATGATCTTCAGAAGTTGAATGTTCTCTTTTAGATTTAAAAAAAATCTTTT